AAAAAAAAAGGGACCTAATACTGGAGCTTAGATTGTTGGTTGATGGTAGGACCTGTGGCCTCTCCTCTCTTTAAAATGGATTTTTGGGAGAAAGAAGGATTTCATTTAATATTTGAAGTAAATGTTGAGCATTTGTCATCTTTAAATAAAGAATTGAGCTCTTGGAGCCCAGTGGGTGTTTTTAGGAACCTTCTTAAGAGATGTAGACCTTTAAACCCATTAAGTAGAGCTGATTAAGTTGTTCTTTCAAGAAATCATTCCTGCATCCAAGCTGGATTCAATTGTAGCAAATACTAGTGTGACTGAAGTGTGCCAGACATCAGGGTTGTAGAAATAAGTCCTGCTCAGCAGCACTTTCAACAATAGCCAAATTATGGAAAGAGCCTAAATATCCATCAACTGATGAATGGATAAAGAAGTTGTGGTTTATATATATAAAATGGAATACTACTTGGCAATGAGAAAGAATGAAGTATGGCCTTTTGTAGCAACATGGATGGAACTGGAGAGTGTTATGCTAAGTGAAATAAGTCATACAGAGAAAGACAGATACCATATGTTTTCATTCTTATGTGGATCCTGAGAAACTTGACAGAATACCATGGGGAAGGGGAGAGGGGGGAGTTAGAGAGGCAGGGAGGCAAACCATAAGAGACTTTTAAAGACTGAGAATAAACAGGGTTGATGGGGGGGGGGGGAGTGGGTGATGGGCATTGAGGAGGGCACCTGTTGGGATGAGCACTGGGTGTTGCATGGAAACCAATTTGACAATAAATTTCATATTAAAAAAACAGTAATAAAAAAGAAATAAGTCCTGCTCTACTAAACACCAGTAGATCATTTCAGTGATGTGCAGGGTGCTGTGGAACACAGGAGAGAGACGCTTGGTCTGCTGTGAAGAGGTTGAGAAAGTCTTTGGAGGAGGTGCAGTGCCATTTTAGGCTGCCGGCATAGCTCATCGGGCATGTCCGTCATTTTGCCGTTGTCTAACAGTGGTTCGATAATAGGGTCAAACCAATGGAGGTACCTACCATTCTCATAGAAGCACAGCTACTAAAATCCTAGCGTTGGGATGCATAAATTCTCATGTAATGTCCCTTGAGATAAAGAGGTAAGAATGTTCCATTTTTATTAATAAACTGCTGCAGGATGTATAATCCTGATCAACCTTCCTGAAAGTGAATTTCTCAACATAGAGAAAATTTCTGTGTCAGATATTAGAGCTCTAAAGAGGATAAAATGAAAGAGGCAACATGAAAGAATATGGGCTCTGGAGACCCAGGGATTGGCTCCCCTACTTTGTAGCTCTGGGGGAGGGACTTAATGTCCAAGTGTCAGTTTCCTCCCGTGTCAGTGAGCCTCCTGCCTGCTTTGGTGGTATTGTGAGGTTTAACTTTGCAAGGTGGTAGGACACTTCCCGGCCTCCTAGATGCTCTGTAAATATTCCCTTTGCTAGCATCATCATTCCGCCTTACGACCAACAGTGCCTTATGGACTTTTGCATATTTAAGACTGTATACTTTAAGTTGTGATAATATACTTACAAGTAGCAGAGAGTAGTGTTTGGAAATGTGAATTTTAGCTGATGAGAAGCTATGTATATTTTATTTGGGTCAAACACAATTTTAGCCTATTGACTTCTGTGGGAATAATTCTTTGCAACATTTGTCTTACTACAGTATTTAGAGATTTGACATTTCCTGGAGTGTGTAAATGCAGAAAAGTAATCAGATATTTAAATCATTTCTACCGTGCCCTTAGTACTGTGGCATTTTGGCAAGGCTGTTAGCATCTCTGGGCCTTAGTTCCCTCTGTTGGATGAAGGGTCCTGACTAGACAGTTTCCAATGTTTCATTTAACTAATACTTCAGAATGTTAAGAAACCAAAATATTAAGTTGTCTTGTGTTTATTATTACAGATATACAATTCTTTGAATTAAACAAATCACTCTTATTTCTTAGGAATAGTTTATAATTTAACGGGATTTTTAGATTAGTGATTCAGTTCTTCACTTGTCTCTGAGGGTGAACAGGTAATAAACACTAGATAGTAAAGGAACCTTCTTTTACAGTGGACCCTCAGTATTCTGTCAGACCAAATTGGGGGTTTTATTTAATGTTTTATTGTGAATTACAAAAGCTATACATTAAGGACATTTGAAAAGTATAACAGCATAAAGAAATGTATTAGAATTACCCATAATCCATTCGGCTCAGGGATTATCAGTGTTAGAATTTTTTGGTTTTTAGTTAATTGTTTACTACAAGCTGATAATTCTGGGATTTAGATGTATTAATCACCAAATATAAAAGCAGTTTAAAGAAAAGTCTGTCTTAAGAGTCCGGTATGTGTATTTGAAAAATAGTGATTCAGCATATTTTGCTGAGTTAACTGTTTCAAAATGTAGATGACCAACTGAAATGAAAGCTAACATACCTTAGGGTATATATGACAATACAAGTGCCATGAATGTTCTTAAATCTTTGTGGGGATCTTCTTGTCTAGCCTGGATTGGGATGCTGCAACATTACTAACAAGTCTGATGTAACTAGGTATATAACACGTATGTTTTTAACTCATGAACCAGTATTAAAGTGTAACTGCATTGCTGTGGGTTCAGAAGTGAATTTTAAAAAATGGGGAGTGGTGGACAGTACTAATGATTGGATACCACTGTTAGACTCCTAGATAAGTTAGGACCTTACTGTCCTCACCTGGTCATTCATTCCACATATAAACTTTAGAAAACAAGGTTAGAGTGTTTGGTTTCTATTTTTTAAAATCCATTTAAGGGGTGCCTGGGTGGCTCGGTTGGTTAAGTCTCCAACTCTTGATTTTGGCTCAAGTCATCATCTCACGTCAGAGCCCTATATCAGGCTCTGCACTGACAGTGTGGACCCTGCTTGGGATTCTGTCTCTCCGCCCCTCCGGCGCACGCTTGTGCGTGCACGCACTCTCTCTCTCCCTCTCTCAATAAATAAATAAGCTTAAGTCCATTTAAAAAGAACATTATTTTTTTCCAAAAAAAAAAAACATGTTCATGTTGTGGATTTTAGAAATTTTGAGTTTTGTTCCATCTTAGTTGTTTCTTAATAAGGCGGTGGCATCTGTGCTGCTTGTTTGAAAGCTCAAATGAATATTAAAAAGCAGGTAATAGTAAACACTTAACTGCTTAGTATATGCCAGGCACTGTTCTCAGTGCTTTGTGTCTGTTAACTCACTTAATCTTACTGTTCTCCCCATTTTACATTTGTGGAAACTGAGGCATACAAAAGTTAAGTGCTGTACTCAGTCTCCTGGCTAGTAAGTGGCAGAACCAGGCAGTCTGGCTTTAGAATCTGCTCATAACTACGTGCTGCATGAACAAAAATAAAATCACGCTTTCTAGTACCCAGCTACTTCTTTAAATATTACAAAAAAAAAAAATTATTCAGGGGTCCCTGGGTGGCTCAGTCAGTTTGGCATCTAACCCTTGATTTCAGCTCAGATCATGATCTCAGGGTTCATGAGATGGAGTCCCACATCAGGCTCCAAGCTGACAGTGCTGGGCCTGCTTGGGATTCTTTCCCTTTTTCTCTGCCCCTCTGCTGCACACACACTCTCTCAAAATAAAAAATAAAAATAAATAAATTTAAAATCATTTTTAAAATAACTTCCTATTTAATATTAGGTATATAGATTTTGTTTTAGTAAGTCCTTGGTTTAATTGACATTGAATTGAATATTACTGTCATGTTAGTATAGGCCTAACATTTTAAACAGCAGCACTGGATTCTATTATATATTAACAGAAAGGGAAACTGAAAGGTGGCTTGGCCATATTCTCTGTTCTTTTTTCCTCTTAAACTATAGTCTCAAGTAAAATTGTGCTACAGATGCAGATTGAAGATGCGTCTGTTCCCCTCACCCCTTCCTGATTGCCACCCTAGACCTCTAAATTTGGTGGACATTGTCTTTGAAATTATTTGTGTGTGTGTCTTTAAAGGAGACCATTAGTTATTCAAGAAGGTTGTCTTATAGCCAGGACTTCCCTTGAAATGGAAGGAAAGCACACTTAGATGTCCTTTTGCAGAAGCCAAGAGAGGCCATGATGATCCCAAGGTCACATGGTAGGGTGGGAGTCGTCTATACATTGTTACAGCCATGATCACTGATTAGATATCAAAGGGAGACATGTCTTAAATGTGGAAGGCCAGGGACAGCTTTAGGCAACATCCTGTTTTTTCAATAGGAGAGAAGAGGGAGGTTGATAGGCTGAAGTTCTAGGAAAAACCACCATTGTCATAGAACGTGATTCATGGAAGGGTTGGTAGTCTGCCAGAGGTGGCATCAGCAAGGACAAATAGCTGCAGAAAGGAAGTTAGATTTGACAGTTAACTCACTGATTTCTGACTCCAGCCAATAAAGAATAAAGAAATAAGAAATTGGCATTAAAACCACTGCAGACAGTCTTAGGATGGTGTGTTACCATGATGTATGTGTCACATTTATAATCACTAGTAAAGCCGAAGACTGAGTTTCTGTATTCTCTTCTTTTTTAAACAAGTGACAGACATATCTGGTGATGGGGACCAGTTCTAGATATATTCCCTGTGTCACACAGTAGAGACTGGCACTAAAAAGTCTTGTAGCAGTGATGTAAATACTGAACGCAGATTTGTTTTCTCTATTGGAATGTGAATTCTAATTTTGAGAGTTTTTTGTGATATGTACTAAACAATTAGCCAATGACACACAACTTCCAAAAATCATTTCATCCCTGAAAATAATGCTTACCATCAGTGCTAAACAAGTGGGGGATTGGGGCTCTGAAGAGGTTAAGAGACTTTTTAAGGGTCACACAGATATCAGCATTGATAGAACTAAGGGTTTGGATTGACACTTTTCCTGGTGGTTTTATAATTGAATTTCCTGGGGCACCTGGGTGGCTCAGTCGGTTGAGCGACTGACTTCGGCTCAGGTCATGATCTCACGGTTTGTGAGTTCGAGCCCCGCATCGGGCTCTGTGCCGACTGCTCAGAGCCTGGAGCCTGCTTTGGCTTCTGTGTCTCCCTCTCTCTCTGCCCCTCCCCCACTCATGCTCTGTCTCTCTCTGTCTCAGAAATAAAACATTTAAAAAAAAATTTATAATTGAATTTCCTCATTTGCTTTTCCAATAGTGAAAAAGAAGAAGAAGATAATGAAAAAAGAGAAGATCCAGGTGACAATTGGGAAGAAGGTGGAGGTGGTGGTGGTGGTGTCGAAAAATCTTCCGGCCCCTGGAATAAAACCGCTCCGGTACAGGCACCTCCTGCTGCAGTAATTGGTAATCTTAATGTTTTATTTTCATGAAGACGTCTAGGTATGGTTTTACATATGGTTAGCTTTCAACTGAATGAATGCTGTGGTAGAATGAGAGGGGTTCCTTTCTGTTCTTGGGGGAGAGGTTTGTATATGTCTGTTTAAAGATTTTTACATCCTTAGGAAAGGAATTTGGAAGTTAAGATACGTGCTTTTCTGTAGGCTTTTACATTTATATGTAAACTAACTTGCCAAATTTAAATATTTAAGTCATTTGTTTTACTTTTTGACAGTTGGCTAATGGATAATTGAGTACCTGTGTTTCCACCTGTGTTTCTTTTTTTCTCCCCATTTTATTGTCTTGAAGCATGAATTCTCACAAGGGCAGATTTTATCACTCGTTTTTTATACAGAATAATACAAAGAATAACAAATCTTAACTGCCCAGAGATCACAGATAACTACTGTGTGTCAACATTTTTGCATCCTTTTTAGTACTTTACTGTGTTATGTTTTTCCATTCAACTTTGTGTTTATTTTTGAGGGCATGTGAGGGAGGGTCAGAAGGGGGGGGAGGGGAGGGACAGTTTCCAAAGCAGGTTCTGTGCTAACAGCAGAGCTCTTAACATGTTTTACTGCATCTGTCACTGATCCCTGATGACCTCAGCATTGGTAAACTCCATTTCCCAGTCTGTCCTCATTCGATGTTCCCCATCCTCAACATTTGCTGTAGCTCATCACCCCTTTGAAACAGACTCTTCTATTGACTTCCAGGACACCACGGTCTCCTTGCTTCCTCAGTGGTTGGCTCTCAGACTCCTTGGCTGGGGTCTCTTCTTCCTCCCTGCCTCTAAGTGATACTCATCCCCAGCACTCAGCCCTTGCCACTCTCTTCTCTGTGGCCTTACTCCCCTGGCAATCTCCACATGCCAGTGACTCCAGAATTCACATCCACTCAGATCTCCCCTGACCTCCAAACACGTAGATCTTAACCATGTACCCAGCACCTCAATATTCACATATCCAAAACTGAACCCTTCACATAGAGTTGACCCCAAAACAACATTATATGAATTACTGCAGTAACCTATTAAGTGGGCGGCCTGCTTCCCTACGTACACTGTTCCCAACGCAGCCAGTGGCCAGTGTAGTGATCATTTCAAATGTGACCTGAAAGTGTCTCAGATGTTGACAAGCCTCCATTGGTGTCCCCTCTAATCAGAATAGAAGCTGAAGTTCTCAGACTTGCAGCACCTTAGATGCCTGTCTTGGGATCTCTTTTTCTGATTTTGTCTTTTAGTCAGGTCCTTGCTCACTCTGTTCCTTGGACATACCAGGCACATTGCTGCTGCAGGCCCTTGTGCATATGTTTTCAGCCTGAATTCTTTCCTTTATAGTGGGAGTCTCTAAGTAAACTTTTTCTGTAAAGGGCCAGATAGTAGGTAATTTAGGTTTTGAGGGCCATACAGAAGACTATTTTAATTACTCAGCTCTGCTGTTACAGCACAAAAGCAGCCATAGACCATACGTACACCCATTGAGTGTAGCTGTGTTCCAGTAAAACGTTTATAAGATCAGTGTCAGACCTGATTTGGCTTGTTTACCAACTCAGTATGTTGGCCTCCTTTCAGGCCTTGTTCACTTTTCACTCGTCACTGAGTCCCTACCCATCATGTGTTCCCTGGACAGACCCTTCCCCCACCTTAATTTTTGGTATGGCACCAATTTTTACATATTTGATTTCCTTACTCTGGGATAACACTGTCCAATAGTACTTTTTGCGGTGATGGAATAGCACTGTTCACTATAGTAGCCACTAGCCATATGCGGCTATTGAGTCCTTAAAATGCGACTGATACAACCAAGGAACTGAATTTTTAAGTCTTTCATTTTATTTTTTATTAATTTTTTTTTCAACGTTTATTTATTTTTGGGACAGAGAGAGACAGAGCATGAACGGGGGAGGGGCAGAGAGAGAGGGAGACACAGAATCAGAAACAGGCTCCAGGCTCTGAGCCATCAGCCCAGAGCCCGATGCGGGGCTCGAACTCACGGACCGCGAGATCGTGACCTGGCTGAAGTCGGACGCTTAACCGACTGCGCCACCCAGGCGCCCCTTAAGTCTTTCATTTTAAATAGCTGCATGTGGCTAGTTGCCAAGAATATACAGTTCACGAAGGCCGGTCCTTAACGTTTGTATGCCCACTACAAACAGTACCTGACACATAGCAGGTGCTTAGTAACTAATGAATGCGTGTTATATTATGGCTTTCCCACGCTTAATTAAAAACCATATGAGACAATAACCCTTTATGCATTATGCATTATGTTGCAGCTAATAAATGATGTAGGCTTTTCTTTGAAAGGAAGTTTTTGATAAATGGAACAGCATGTAAAATACTGAATCTATGTTGAGAATGGGGAGAAAAAATGATAACATAGCAAAAAGCCAGAAGGCTCTGTCCCCAAAATGTTAGCCATCATGGAAGACTTTGGGCTGTTCAGCGGTTTAGTTTTTTCCTGCTTTTCCTGTGTTTTATAAAACAAGATCCATTGATGATATGACAGTGAAATTAAGGGTATCGAGTATATTTTTTTACTAGTCTTTTAGAATTAAAAATATATACGCAAGCATTTTAGTAAGTAAATTCTTTATACTGGCATCGTATTTACCAGGTAAAGAGGTGATTATCCACATTGCCGATATATATACTGAGGGCTGACATGGTCATACTCTGAAAGGCAGTCCCTCCTGGGCCTGCCTCCCAGGTCCAGCAGATTTCTTTCCCACTTCCAGTAAGTTGAAGTCTAGAAAGAACTCATTTACATAGGTAATTAAAATTGTACATGGGAGAAAAATTAGACTACCCTAGAAAAATAAGAATATTTTCGCTTTCAGACTCTCAGGTAACTTTCTATTTTCCAGAGACTGTCATGTAGGTATTGTTTTTTCTGTAATTATCAAATGATTGGGAATGTGAGAATAGCTTATTAAAATGCCAGCCGTTTGAATGGTTTCTCTAAACTGTTATGAAATGTCAGTTACAGAAACCCCAGAACCAGCGATGACTAGCGGTGTGTATAGGCCCCCTGGAGCCAGGTTAACCACAACAAGGAAAACACCGCAAGGCCCACCAGAAATCTACAGTGACACACAGTTCCCGTCCCTGCAGTCCACTGCCAAGCATGTAGAAAGCCGGAAGTAAGTACTCCAGCTCTCGCCTTTTTATCTTGGCATGCTCTGTCCCTTGGCCAGGGAGTGGGATGTAGGAGATGGGAGAACCCACCTGGGCTGGGGGAGGGGGGTCGTTCTCTTGTAGGTAAAGCCCAGGCCACAGCTGACAGGCAGCTGAGAATTAGGGTAGGACTTACATGCCTTAGGGCTGGAAAGGGGGAGGGCTGGAGGGGGCTGTGGGGAAAGAGCGCCAAGAGACCAGGTCTCTTTATCCTTGGTTTATATGTTGTTCTGTAGCTATGACAAGTCATGCCTAGTTTAGAATTCTTTCTAACATGGAAACTAGAAATGTAAGAGCGGTATTTTCATTGTATTCCCAGTTGATGTGAATAGATGAAAGATGTTGGCATTTATAAATCTAATATTAAAATAATCTTATTTCAGCAGGTACTTAAAATGAATGCTACCTGGAGTTAAATGACCACATTTGGCACATCCACACCTTTTTTAGGGACATGAATTTTTTTTTTTTTTCAACGTTTATTTATTTTTGGGACAGAGAGAGACAGAGCATGAACGGGGGAGGGGCAGAGAGAGAGGGAGACACAGAATCGGAAACAGGCTCCAGGCTCTGAGCCATCAGCCCAGAGCCCGACGCGGGGCTCGAACTCACGGACCGCGAGATCGTGACCTGGCTGAAGTCGGACGCTTAACCGACTGCGCCACCCAGGCGCCCCAGGGACATGAATTTTTTAAAGTAAATAAAACGGGAAGAAATGTAAAAGACATTAGATGGAAATACTGTTGGGGGGGGGCGGGGAGTAGCTTTTTTAAAGTAAATCCAAGCCTTTTTTGCCTCTGAGAGCCTAATTTAAGCCTCCACTTTATCTGACCCACTCCCATAAGGAAGAAGTGAGGAGAAATCATTGAATGATGAGTAGAACTTTACTTGAATAAGAAAACCATTGCCTTTATGCATAAAGAAAGAGAGGTATTATTTATTGTTTGCTAAAAATAAAAGTGACTCTTAGAAGGAATCACCGTGTCATTAGATAGCCTTTTGACTTTCCAGTTGTCTTCAAGTTGGTCCCAAAATAGATTTGCCACCACAGAAAACAACACCATAGAGCCTCAGTACTCATGTTTTCTGTTCCTTTGAAGCCTAGAAAATGATTTGATGATGATTTTATGTGCAACTTTCCCCTGTCAAAAGCAGAGCATTCCTAAGTCAGAATGGCGTAAAGCAGAGAGGATCCCTCACTTTCTGAAAGTTTGCACTACACTTCACTTTTACAGGAAGACCTATGTTAGTGCGCGTTTTTGCTACCTGAAAGAAATCTGGAGAGATGTTCACTGTTACGGGAAAAGGCTGTTGCCATCCTAATGTACGTCTTCTGTAAAAGCAACTGGTGTAACAGGAACTTTCAGGAAGCAGGGGATACCTGTGCCAGTTTCCCTTCCTATTCCTCCCTCAGGATACTTCTAAGGGGTGACTTGTTTTTTGGGGGGTTTTTTTGTTTTGTTTTTGTTTTGATTGGTTGGTTTTTTTAATTTGAGGAAGAGTTTACACAACAACCCAGCGAAAAAGAAATATTTACTGATTACATTTCTTTTCCCTTAGGGATAAAGAAATGGAGAAGAGCTTTGAAGTAGTAAGACACAAAACTAGAGGTAGGGATGAGGTTTCAAAAAACCAGGCCCTTAAACTTCAGCTAGACAACCAGTATGCTGTGCTTGAAAATCAGAAAAGCAGCCACACACAGTACAATTAAGGAATGGTCTTTGCTAACCCTTCTAAGGTAACTAGACCACAGCTAACCACCAGGAACAGCCATTCATCATCTGATCTCTGCTGGACCCGCGGCCGATGCAGACCACTCGATATAAGTGACCGTCCCTATTGCACTATGGAAGCATAAGTGTCACACTGCTCTTTGTGTTGTATTGGATGTAGGGGGAGTCTCATTGTTCTATAAATGCGTGAACTAGATTCAGCAGTGTTCTTTCATTATTACTCTGCAAGTACAAAAACAAACTGCAGCCAGTGGTCATTTCAAAATCTTTTTATGTTCAGATACTGAGCCTTCGTAAGGGCTGACTACCTCAGGTTTGCTGCACTCGTCGCGGACTTCTTGTGGATCACAACTTCTGGACACGAAGGTTACAGCTAGTAAGTGTCGGTGTGAAGCTTGAAACCAGCTCTCCTGGATTCCTATCAAATCCTGCAGAAAGTCAGCCATCTCGGTTCTGATCTGCTGTAAAAGATGAAGATTTAAGTGACCTTAATTAACCTGTCCTGTGCCCCACCCTTAAGGAATACTCTGTAGTGGGCTGTGTTAGACTTCCTGGAACGTGCCGCTCTCAAAAGAACTCCTGTGTTCAGATAATCTGTGTAGTAGGGCTGTGATTTTATAGTTTAAACTTTGAGTTGTATCCTGGGGTAACCATAAGTTAAATTCAACCAAACTTGGGTCCACCCAGTGGGAAAGGGGGTGGGGGGGGAGTGATCTTTCTTCTTTTAGTGATTTCTTATTATTTGGGTAGTGCTTTTTCTGTGTTCCACATTAAGGCCTTTTTTTTTTTTTTTTTTTTTTTT